CTGTAAGCACTTCACCTGTTTTAGGTACCAACTATACAGTCAATATAAGAGTATTAAATTTACAACAAACTGTAAGCACTTCACCTGATTCAGGTACCAAGATAGTTAACTTATGAATAAGTTTTGAGACTAAGAGATACCTTAAACTATCAGTATTTTCATTTTGGTAGTTTTTATCTTTTGGATTTAAAAAGAACTGAATTTACAACTTACTTCATCGGGCCTATAATATAGTTAGTTCCTTTGTCGGATTCCACGAAGACGTAAAAAATAGAAAGGTTTTCTTATAAAAAAATAGTTTTTGTATATACTTGATAGTGTTATTAAGAAATATTTAGAAGTCCAGTATATTTTTAAAATCAGTAAACGTGTTGAAACTAAGTGAATAGTTTATTAAATCTTAACTTTTTCTGGCTATAGAATTAAAAAAAAATTAAAACAATTTTGAACAATAAAGTTTATCCACAAATTAAGTTTAGAATTGTTTTCAAACCGATATGTCGAATATGTAATTTATAGACAAAAATCCCTAAAACGCATCGTTCTTATGTAATCTATAAATTTACATGTCCAACGTGTAGCCATGGCTATGCAAGTACTATAATTAATTATTTGAGCTCAAGAAGTATGAAGACCACGCGCAAAATATTCTAGAGAATCGGTTTCCCATTCTTCGTCACTATTTGTTTGCACAACTGAATTCTGGGAAATGCAGCCAGTGAAAAGACACAAAAGAAATTTTTTGAACACAGAAGTCTTCTGGGTTGAACGTGGGTTGTGCTTTCTCTGTGTCCTGTGAAAGCCAGATTACAAGTTGCCACTGTTACGTTTGTATTCATAATACGTTCTAAAATATCTCTCCAAAAACTTAATTTTTTTGTATTCCTCTTTCATATTGAGCTTCCAAAGTTTCACTTGAACACCGTTTATGTAACAAGACACAAGCATTGAGACGTGTATGTGAAGTTTCGTGTGTGTGACTTCTGTCACCCGTAACACGACACAAGCATTGAGATGTGTATGTGAAGTTTCATGCGCGTGACTTCTGTCACCCGTAACACGACACAAGCATTGAGATGTGTATGTGAAGTTTCGTGTGAGTGACTTCTGTCACCCGTAACACGACACAAGCATTGAGATGTGTATGTGAAGTTTCATGTGGGTGACTTCTGTCACCTGTAACACGACCCAAGCATTGAGATGTGTATGTGAAGTTTCATGCGCGTGACTTCTGTCACCCGTAACACGACACAAGCATTGAGATGTGTATGTGAAGTTTCGTGTGTGTGACTTCTGTCACCTGTAACACGACCCAAGCATTGAGACGTGTATGTGAAGTTTCGTGTGGGTGACTTCTGTCACCCGTAATACGACCCAAGCATTGAGACGTGTATGTGAAGTTTCATGTATATGACTTCTGTACCCAATCTCTAATACCCTTTACCCAAGCTTCATTATATTTAGAAGTACTACGGTCTGCAAACAATATTCCCTATCTAGCGAATAACATAGCCATATTACAGATATAATTAACCCAGCCTAGGATTTATTATTGTACTAAGTTTCTGAAAAACACCAACCTTTTTGTTTCTC